CTGTAGTCCCAGATACTCAGGAGGAGAATCCTTTGGACCAGGGAGTTGGAGGTTGCATTGAGCCAAGATCGTGCCACTGCACTCCAGCCTGGCAACAGGGGGAGACTCCATCTCAAAAAAAAAAAAAAAGGTCATTGGTTCATGCCTGCAATCCCAGCACTTTGGGAGGCCAAGGCGAGCAGATCACTTGAGGTCAGGAGTTCGAGGCCAGCCTGGCCAACATGGTGAAACCCTATCTCTACTAAAAATACAAAAATTCACCGAGTGTGGTGGCAGGCACCTGTAATCCCAGCTACTTGGGAGGCTGAGGCAGGAGAATAACTTGAACCCAGGAGGCAGAGGTTGCAGTGAACCGAGATCACACCATTTGCACTCCAGCCTAGACAATAAGAGCAAAACTCTTCTTTAAAAAAAAAAAACGTCACCAAGATAGTAGACCGGATAGACGTGAGCACAGACAGGCAGACCAACTTGTTTAAAGCCCCAGCTACCTAGTGATAACACTGAGATCAAAACCTGAAAACATTCTGACTCTTGACTATAGAAAATGCCCAACAAGCCAAATACACGTTCCCTAACCTAGAGTGCAGCATTGTCTCACAGATGTCAGAGTACAGGACCGTGTCTGCTGGCTAAGCTCACAGACACACTCCACGTTCTCCTGGAACGTGCCACGGTAGGAAATAAAAGCAGATATGACAGGAGTGATGATCAGGAAGGGGACAGAAGAGGAAGGAATCTCTCTCCCCACCAAGACAAAAATTGGAGTGGCAGAATCTGAGGTAACTATTTTGGAACTCTGGAATCTCATTGAATGCTTGCAACTTCCAAGGAAACTCTTGGCTGGTATATTGCCGTTAATTTTGGTCAATCTCAGCCTTTAGGATATTAGCGTCTCCCCAGCCTGAGTCTTGTGGTAGGCAGCCATGCCCATGTTCCTGGCATGACTTCCTGAAGCCAGGGTGGAAGTCTTGTCCTCCACATATCAAGGTTCAGTGTTTTGATTGCAGAAGTGCAGACATATAGGTGGCAGCCATTGTTGCATTCCCTACTGGCCGAAGTGGCTTCCAGAGGATTTAAGGAACAGCCTCAGTTGTTTTTCTTCTTTCCTGTTTTTCCATTTGGGGAATCAGGCTTAAGGATTAGGATATTGAAAAGCAAGTGTGTGGACAACTTAGTTGGGCCTCCTGCCAACAGCCAGTAAGATGCCAAGTCCCTCAGTCACAAAGCCACATGAAAATGAATTCTGCCAACAACCCAGAGGAGCCTGCAAGAAGATTCTCCCTGGTCGAGCCGTGAGATGAGAATACAGTTTGGCTGACACCTTGATTGCAGCCTTGTGAGTCGCTGAGCAGACCATTCAAATAAACTGTGAAATAAATGTGTATACAGGGCAATTTAGAAAGCCACTGCATGTACATAGAGAAATATGCACACTCAGAAGAGACATGGGAAGACTTTAAGCTTTCACCTCAAGTTGATCCAGAGATACCCTCAATAGCTGGTGTGGGGAAACAAGGGCAAATGCTGGGGGAAAAAAGGAGAATCTGATTTCCAGATTCAAATGTCCAGTTTTGAACAAGAAACAATCACAAGATACAGGAAGAAATAGAAAAGGAAGAAACAAATCAATGGAAACCATCACTGAGGAAGCCCTGACAGCAGACTTACTAGACAATAACTTTAAAACCACTGTTTGAAAGATGCTGAAGGAGCTAAAAGAAAACAAAGACAGGAGAACAGTATATGAACAAAATGAGAATATCAACAAAGTAACAAATTATAAAAAGGAAACAAATTCTGGAACTGAAAAGTATAACTGAAATGAAAAATTGCCTAAGGGGTTCAAAATATTTAAGCAGGCCAAAGAACTGCTCAATGAACTTGAAGATAGGGCAGTTGAAACTATTGAACTGGGGAGGGTGGAGAGGGAAAACATGGGGAGAAATACCAGGTACGGGTGATGGGGGGAGGAAGGCAGCAAACCACCTTGCCGTGTATGTACCTATGCAACAATCCTGCATGATCTGCACGTCCCCCAGAACCTAAGGTACAATTTAAAAAAAAAGAAAAAATGAAAACCTAAGGAACCAACCTGTGGAATACCATAAATAAGACGAGAAGTAGAGAAACAAGGGCAGAAAGTATATTTAAAGAAAGCTCAACAGAAAACTGCTCATATTTGATTAAAAGACATGTATCTACAAACCCAAGAAGCATAACAAACTCCAAATAGGATAAGCTCAAGGAAACTCACACCAAGACACTTCACTGAAGACAAAAGACAACCGTGAAAGCAGCCAGAGAGAAGTAATTTATCACATACAAGAGATTCTCAAGATTTTCAGCATATTTTTCATCAGAAACCTTGGAAGTCAGAAGGCAGTGGGTTCATATATTAAAACTGCTGAAAGAAAGAAAACCTGTTAGAATTCTGTATCTAACAACTGTCCATCAGAAGTGAGGAAGAAATCAATACTTTCCCAGATAAATAAAAGCTGAGGGAGTTCATTATCATTCTTTGCAAGAAATGCTAGAAGGAGTCTTTCAGGCTGAAAACGCTAAACACTACACTTCTTTAAAAGAACACTAAACTTAGAACTTCAAGTTGTAAGAAGAAATAGAGACCACCAGTAAAGGTAAATACACGGACAATTATAAAACCTAGCATACTCTAATGTTGGTTTGTAACTCTACTTTTTATTTTCTATGTGATTTAAAAGACAGATCCATTAACAACTGCTAATAATGGATACACAGTGTATGAAGATGTAATCTGTGATGTCGGTAACAGTAAGGGAGACAGCACAGCGCAGGAGCAGAGTTTTTGTAAGTTTTTCAAATTAGGGTGATATAAATTCAGTTTAGGTTGTTGTAATGTTAGGATATCCAGTGTAATCCTCATGTTACTATAAAAAATGAACTAAACACAAAAGGCAGTAATGGAGGAAATGAGAGACCCAAATAAAATGTTTAAATGACAGAAAGAAGTCCCTTATTTTTTTCTTTTTTTTTTTTTTGAGACAGTTTTGTTCTGTCGCCAGGCTGGAATGCAGTGGTGCAATCTTGGCTCACTGCAACCTCCACATCCCAGGTTCAATTAATTCTCCTGCTTCAGCCTCCCTAGTAGCTTGGGACTACAGGCATGCGCCACCACACCTGGCTAATTTTTGTATTTTTATTAGAGACAGGTTTCGCCATGTTAGTCAGGCTGGTCTCAAGCTCTTGACCTCAAGTGAACCACCCGCCTCAGCCTCCCAAAGTGTGGAGATTATAGGCATGAGCCACTGGGCCTAGCCCAATACCCCACTTTCAATAAATTATTAATAACTAGACAGAGGATCAATAAGGAAATATAGGACTTTTGAACAACACTATAGATCAACTGGACCAAACAGACATACGCAAAACACTCTGCCCAGCAACAGGCATAATACACGTTCTTCTCAAATACACATGGAGCATTCTCAAGAACGGACTGTCTCCGGAGAGATCATAAAACAAGTCTTAATAAATTTAAGACTGAAGTCATACACAGTATTTTCTCTGACCACAACGGAATGAAGCTAGAAATCAGTAACAGAAGGAAACTGGGAAATTCACAAATATGTGGAAATGAAACAAGATGCTTTTAAACAAACAACCAATGGGTCAAAGAATAAATCACAAGGGAAATTAGAAAATATCTTGAGACAAATGTAAATGAAAACAACATACCAAAATTTATGGAATGTAGTGAAAGCAGTGCTAAAGAAGGATTATTCACCATGTCAGGTGGGTGGAGGAGTTCAAGACCAGCCTGGGCAACATGGTGAAACCCTATCTTTACTGAAAATACAAAAACTAGCTGGGCATGGTGGCACACCCCTGTAGTCCCAGCTACACGGGAGGCTGAAGCAGAAGAATCGCTTGAACTCAGGAGGCGAAGGTTGCAGTGAGCCAAGATTGTGTCACGGGTGACAGACTCTGTCTCAAAAAAAATAAGAGTCATCCTCATGCACATCCTCCTGTATATTTTAAAACATCTCTAGATTGCTTATAATTCCTAATACAGCATAAAGGCCATGTAAATAGTTTTTATTCTGTATGGTTTAGGGAATAATGAAAAATCTATGCATGTTCTGATGCAAGTATATGTTTAAAAAAAAAAAAAATTTTTTTTTGAGCTGGAGTCTTGCTGTGTCACCCAGGCTGGAGTGCAGTAGTGCAGTTTCGGCTCACTGCAAACTTCGCCACCCGGGTTCAAGCAGTTCTCCTGCCTCAGCCTCCCAAGAAGCTGAGACTGGTCTCCCAACTCCTGACCTCATGTGATCTACCCACCTTGGCCTCCCAAAGTGGGATTGCAGGAACCACCACGCCAAAAAAATATTTTTGATCCCCGGTTGAATCCATGGATGTGGAATCCACAAATATGTAGGGCTGACAGTACTTTACTACAATTGTTTTATTTATTTATTTATTTGAGATGGAATCTCGCTCTGTCACCAACGTGGAATACAGTCATGCGATCTTGGCTCACTGCAACCTCCGCCTCCTGGGTTCAAGCGATTCTTCTGCCTCAGCCTCCCGAGTAGCTGGGACTATAGGCACACACCACCATGCCCAGCTAATTTTTGTATTTTTAGTAGAGATGGGGTTTCACCATATTGGCCAGGGTGGTCTCAATCTCCTGACCTCGTGATCCACCCACCTGAGCCTCCCAAAGTGCTGGATTGCCGGCATACGCCACTGCACCCAGCTTTTACTACAATTTTTTTTAAAGGAAAAAAGGGGGGGGAAAGTGTGCAAAGAAATTCTAAACTTTCTCAATTCCATGTTTTTGCTTGATAGAGCGCTTTTAACCGACTACCGTAGTGTCATCAGTTTCCCTTACAATTCTGTCCTTACCTTTGTCCTTGGAAGGCCCTTGCCAGTACTCCTGCCTACATACTTCCTTTCTTGTGGGTTTGCAAAGACATTGGAATCTCATTTCCACACCAAAGTACCAGACGCCAAAAATGTAAAGTCGTGAGTTTATTGCATATGTAACAAAATGAACCTGACCTCCTGGGTCCAGCCTGCTGTACAATCACTGTTTTGTGTTTCCAGCTGGTTCCATAACCACATTAAATAGAACTAGTATATCATTAAATACTTTTGATTTTGACATAAAACAGAACATTAGTGTACAACTTTCACAAAATAAATCAGCGATAAAAACAGTGGGAAGGATAGCAGCAATACTTAAAAACAAGACGTTACAAAATAAATTAAAAATACATTATAAAGTGGTTGAGAAACAAAAATAAACAAATTTTTTAAATCCATACTATGTTTCGGGAAGGCTGCCGTGTGGCACACACCTGGCTGCAGATGGGGGGTGGGGGAGACATTTTCTCTGCAGAAGGCCTTTCCTGACATCTCAGATTGGGTGACCCACCTAATCTGAATTCGAACCATATGGCCGAACAAATTAGGGGTCGGAATTCGATCTGGTGGCAGATTCTCTTTTCAGAATTTGAGAGAGCCCTTTTCCTATCGCCCAGGGCCTCCCAGGCAGCCTCGGCTCTTCCTGCTGAAAGCACTGGTGGAGTGGTGTTTGCTGCATCCCTGAGTGTCGGCTGATGGCCGCTGGTGAGGGCAAGCCTGAAAGGTTGGGCCCCTGAAGCATCTGGGCAGAGGGGCGGGGGGCATGGCTGGATCGCCTGGGACCACCAAGAAGGGCCACGCAGAGATCACACATGAACGGGCTTTGCGCGGACCCAAAGTAGAACAGTCGGGAGCTTTTACCTTTTGCATATTGAGTTCTTGGGGGTGGTTCAAAAGGACTAAACCAACCATCATAGAAACTGAAGGTTCTAGGAGCGCAGTACCACTGACAGGGAGGCCTGTTTGGAAAGAGTGAACTGGAGCTCTGGAAAGGTCTGCAGCACTCACACGACCGATGACAAGGCGGCAAACCCACACGCAGGTGGAAGTGGAAAAGCAGAGACAGGCTGGGCTGGGACGGGAACGAATGTGTCCGCCAGGGCCACCCGTGGAGGACACAGCCCTCTGGCTCTGGGCTGAAGCGACACGCGGCACGAGAGGCAGGGCAGCACCGACCACCTGAGGCTGGCGGGTACAGCTGCTAAGGCTCGCCTCTGACTCCTCCCAACAGCAAAAAGGTAGTTTTAAAGGCGTCAAATGCAACATTCCTGCTTCAAAGTCTTTTAAACCACAAGACCCTGGTTTCCTTCCTAATTACGGCAGATTTTGGATACCACCACCAGGAAAATCAGGTGGTACTTCCGACCTCATCCTGGAGGCTGCTTCAGTTCTTGGATGGATGTCTCTCCCGCCTCCCGCGGGTTAGGCTCAAGATAGAGAGTGGGCTCTCTGGGGGAGGTCTGTAGTTTTCACTTCCTCGCCTTCAAGAGGAAGATGCAAGGAAAGGCTGGATAGAGCCACTGGGGAATGGGCTTCTAGAACGCCCTCAGGAAGCATCATGGTGAATGAGACACAGGATACGCCCACCTGGGGCAAGGCAGAACTTTTGAAAGAGGCTAAGCCCACCATTTGGCCTGGACTTTTGGCATAAGGGATTAAACTTTCCTCCTTCAGCAAACCTCATTTGGCAGCCCTTCCATTCTAGAACCTCAGCAGCCCAGAAGGTAACAGTGACAAAAAGAACAGATAAAAAACAGTCATCCGCAAGGTTCTTCCCAGGCCATCTCAGACCCACAGCGGGATCCCAGAGACTTCGACAGCAGTGTAATGTCTTGCTAATGAATTACCCTGTACTTTCCCCCACCCCCAAACAAAAACAACAACAAAGAAACCATACAGGAACATTGGTTGCTGCTGTTTTTTTGCCAAAGTTCAGCTACTGGACATCAAGCCACTTTAAAACACTGTTTGACTTTTATGCAAACTGTAGATGGTGTCAGAAACTTCGAGTCTAGGCTTGCTTTTGGCCTTGCTCGTCGTACGAAGACATCTGGGCAAGCGAACCGAGTAGCAGTCGTCACCGGCTGCCACTGGGAAAGGGGCCACATGAGGCAGTGTGTAGTCGACCCCTGACCCCCGTGGTCACAGGTTTGCGTCCACACCCTGCTTTTTGTAGACAGTATCTTTGGGTGGATTTGCCTCGAGGTTATCCTTTCCCCATTGCTTTTAAGCGAGTTCACACCAAGCCAGCAGCCATGGTAACGCCATTTTGTTAGTTTAGCTCTTAGCAGTTGCTGCATCGTGGTTCACTAGTATTTTCAGTGACACAGGCGATGCCTCTATGGACAACAGTGGCGCAGAGCTCACAGCTTTGGGACTGACTGGTTGGTTCTAGGGCTGGTTTTGGTCTGTTCTTTTATACACTCTGTGACTTTGTGTTTTCACTGAAAAAAGGTCAAACTGGACAGATAATGCAGCAAAAGGAACCCTTGAAAGATCATTTTTCTCGTTTTGTAAAACAAAATTTTCAGCCAAGATACCCAGAAAAGAAATACCTTGGGCCTCCAGGAAAAGCTGCTCCAATTCCTTCTCCTTTCAAAGGGGAAACACGTTTTGACTCAACCTTCCTGCTGTGGCAGAATTCCAATAAGCATACATTATATAGTTACTTTTCAGTTGGGAATTTCTGCTACCCATAACAGGCTGCTGGAATGTGAAATTTGTAATCTGAGCTCTGGTAAGATATCTAGCAGCTGCTCAAATTGAAAAGGGGCCTCCAGGCTGTTTGTTTAGAGATGGAATAGCTGGGACAGCCACCAGTTCCAAACCCTCAGTCAACCACGCTCAGTCCCCTAACTGTGAGCTGATGCTCCTATAAAGAGCTCAGGGCCGTGAGCCTTATCACCACGTGGGTTGCAACCATAGCAGAATATCCTGTGTGACCGAAGCCAAAGGCCCTGGCTGCATTTTATTGGATGGGTGATGGAAGTGGGTGGGAGTACTATAATAAGGAGGGATGTATGGGTGGGAGCCACCAACAAAAGTCCCCCATCCCCCTCCCGCAACAGAAAGGAGAGAGACAACCCTTTCCCCTCAGATGATCTGGAATTCCAGGGCCTCTGCCAGCTTTGCAGGAGGCGCACAGAAGCTGGATGCTTTTGGTCTGGTGGCCATGAGCTAGACTCTGTTGCCTTTGGTTGTTCTTCACTCCACAGCAAACCCGCAGGTCTCCTCCACGGCTGTCAGCAGCTTCTCGTAGAGCTTCTCATAGGACTCATATGGTGGAATGTCGATCCGGTTAAAGCTGAAAAAGGACAAAAGAATGAGAGTCACCGCATGGGCAGTCCAGCCCTAGGACCAACCTCAAGGCCAAGGGCAGGTGACAAGAAGTGTGTATGGGAGGGGGAAAGGAATGGGGGCGGGGTGGGGGAGGTGATGAGTTATCCGTGTTCCCTCTGTGCTTTTCTGCTTCTAATACAAAGATTTTTAGTTTGTTTTTGCTTTTTGGTAGAGACAGGGTCGCACTAGGTTGCCCAGGCTGCTCTCAAACTCCTGGCCTCAAGTGATCCTCCTGCCTTGGCCTTCCAACATGCTGGGATTACAGGCATGAACCACTGTGCCCAATCAACACACAGCAGAGTAAGTCTTTGGCCTTCACAACCAAAACATAACCAAATTACTATTTACTGCTTCTATCAGGACAATGCTCTCCACTTGTTTTTGGTTTGTCTGTCTTTGGGAGAAATTCCTTCTCTGTGCTGGGAATGCCTCCTTGGCAGCCCCTGTAACCCAAACTGGCTGTCAGGCACGTCATCACTGACAACGTACTGCATGTCTGTCTGTTTCTCTGGGACTTGATCTGAGACCAAAATGGGGCAGTCTGGAAAATTCCCTGCAAAAACAAAATAGATCCCAAAACTAGTAACATGACAGATCCTTAAAAGATGAAATGAATATTCAACTTTTGACTCTGTATTTCCAAGGGGAAACTGGTTTCTAATATTTGTGGAAAGAAAAATGTCCTTTAAGAAGCAAACCAAAAAAATACAAAATTGTGACCCAGAGGACAATGAGTGACTTCTTGACTTCCTAGGGGTAAGCGATTAGGGACGGTTTCTGTCTCTACAGAGCCGGGTTCCAGGGCAGGCACACTTTTGTCCGACGCTTCAGAGGCTACTTTTCACATCTATCTTATTCCAGGCACTAAACTGCTAAGGACAAAAGCCTTGTGAGTAGGCACCCACCCAATGTGGCGTGTTTCCATAATGGGACAACACAGCCATCTCGGAGCAGGGCCTTGGCACCTACCACGGTCCAGGACCAGCTGTATTAATCCCCGTTTCACAGATGTGGAAAACCAAGTTGAAATATGAGGCCACTTGCCCCAAATCGCATGTCAGGGTGTCACAGCTAACATTTGATCCCGCATTCTTGGGTTCCAGGTCAGGAACCTTCCACCACCTCTTGGGGCATCTCAGCAGCATCTGGAACTGGTTCCCCCAAGGAGATGCGGCTGCTTGTCTCAATGGATGGTTCCAGGACAAAGTGTGTGCAAGTGATTGGATTTTTAAAACATACAGGGAGTAATCTATGGAGAGTTACTTTTAAGTTAAAATTTAGGAAGAAAACATTTGTCAGTAGACAGGGTGCATCTGTCATAAGCAGGATTCCAAGAAGATGGGGACCAGAAATGTCAGATAAAGTGAAGACTAATGCATCCAACTGAAACACTGGCCAATTTTCCTTACGAGCAGGTGCATGTACACACACACATATGCACAAGACCTGGCAAAAAGGAAGACTTGAGCACGCTGGGGTGGTAGCCATGCTCCACCGAAACACCAGTGTTAATTACATGCTCATCACAAAATTAGACTCTGATAGCCTTTGTGTGGCATGCTGCAAAGTACTTGTCCCATCTGATACAGCGCTACTGCCACTCATTAAGACTTGGCATAAATGAAACACAGTCCTACAAATCAGAAAACAGCTTTAAAAGCATGAGGACAGGAGCGGTGGCTCACACCTGTAATCTCAGCACATTGGGAAGCTGAGGTAGGCGGATCACCTGAGGTCAGAAGTTCCAGACTAGCCTGGCTAACATGGTGAAATCCCATCTCTACTAAAAACACAAAAACCAGCCAGACGTGGTGCCAGGCACCTGTAATCCTAGCTATTCAGGAGGCTGAGGCATGAGAATTGCTTGAACCCAGCAGGCGGAGGTTGCAGTGAGTCGAGATTGCGCTACAGCACTCTAGCCTGGGTGACAAGAGTGAAACTCCATTTCGAAAAACCAAACAAAAAACTAAATCAAGAGAAAATCTCTATTTAAATTTTAGGTTACATATGCTGTAGATTTATGTTGTTGTTGTTGTTTTTTGAGACGGAGTTTCAGTCTTGTTTCCCAGGCTGTAGTACAATGGCACGATCTCAGCTCACCACAACCTCCGCCTCCCAGGATTAAGCAGTTCTCCTGCCTCATCCTCCCAAGTAGCTGGGATTACAGGGATGTGCCACCACGCCTTGCTAATTTTCATATTTTTAGTAGAGACGGGGTTTCACCATGTTGGCCAGGCTAGTCTCGAACTCCTTACCTTGTGATCCACCCGCCTCGGCCTCCCAAAGTGCTGGGACTAGAGGTGTGAGCCACCACGCCCCACCAAGTTTAGCAATAATTTTGGCCCTCTTATACCTATTTTGTTACATGGCCAGTAAAGCCGCTCTATACAATGTTGTCATGTTGGGGAAAAAGTCACTTGCTTGAGGGCTTCAGAATTGTCATTCAACTGTAGAATTTTTCCGTCTGTCTCAGGTGCTGTGGCTTTTGAGTTCTGATGGTGACAAAAATATTTTGGCAGAGACTCGGTCTCAAAACAAAACTAAAGTGACCGCCTGCATCCTCCAGGACAGGCCCCCAGGACTCAGTGACCTGCCGGCCGCGGTGCTTACCAGGTATGGGCCTTCGGAAGGTTGTCTGTGTTTGCGTCTATCAGGTGGATGGTGAACAGCCGGGGCCCTGCCGCGCCTGTAGAACCTTACGAGACAACATTCTAGTTAATGCACTTCAGAGGCACAGCCATGGCATGTCCCGGCCACACAGCCCCCCACGAGCCAAGGCCCTGACCACGTTCCCAGCCCCCCACAACCAGGCAGGCTGTCCTGTGAGAGGGCCGTGGAGTTCACAGGCCTGGTTTTAGGATATGCCTGCAGTGGCCATCAAAGTGACAAAATGCAAACTTTTTTTTGAGACATGATCTCTCTCTGTTGCTCAGGCTGGAATGCAGTGGCACAATTTTGGCTCACTGCAACATCTGACGGCTGGGTTCAAGCGATTCTCCTGCCTCAACCTCCCGAGTAGCTGGGATTACAGGCATATGCCATCACTCCCACCTAATTTTTATATTTTTAGTAGAGACGGGGTTTCGCCATGTTTCCCAGGCTGGTCTCAAACTCCTGGCCTCAGGTGATCCACCCACCCTGGCCTCCCAAAGTGCTGGGATTACAGGCATGAGCTGCGACACCCAGCCAAAATTCAGACATTTTAAGAATATCCCAGGGGGCAGAGCAAGGATGGCTAAGGACCCTCCTAAAGTACACTCTGACCATGAGCCTGCTCCAAATAGGCTCCCTGAGGATCAAAGCTATTTGTACCCACCCTCTGGAATAGATGACTTGGCCCACCAATTCTGTAGGGCAGGGAGAGGCACCAGGCCCCTGCTTCCTCAGGTCTCCCCAAACTCAGCCCCAAATGAGCACCAGGCTGGCCAGCACAAAGACCGCTAGCTGCCGGGCACTGGGAAGGGGGTCACAGAGGCCACTGGCCTGGGCTTTGCTGCCCCTTGCTCCTGTATATTCACAGATACTCATTTCAACCTGGGCTAAGGTCAATGTTAGGACAGGAATCCAGGAGAGTTGAGGACAAGCAGAGATCCCATCTTTATGTTGGGCAGAGGGTCTTGGAATGTATCCCCCTGGTTCCTGGGGACCTGGGGCAGGAAGCTAGCTCCTCCCCGTTACACTCCACACCCTCTGACCCTGATCTCCTGGGGAGTCGGGACAGGCTGGACCAGACATGCCCAAGTGAGGGCTTCAGAGACCTCCTGCAGGGCCCTGGCCACTCTGCCTGGCCCTGCTGCCAGTCATTCCCTTCCCTCAGCACCAGCACTCTGGTACTAGACTGTGACCCTGTCAGGGGAGCCCTGGTCACCTCTGACCCACCTTCTAGACACTTCAGGGACACTGGCCTGAAGTCCATCTGATTAGGGGACTGATGAGACCCTTATGATGACAGAGATTCTAAGCAGGAAAGTTTAGCACATGGGCCTGCTGCGGGCAGGATGATGGCGGCATGGTCATGAAGCCTGGATTCCTGCCCTGGCTCACTGCTCACACCTTCCAGGGTTTTTTTTTCCCCCTTGGAGGGAAAATAAATCCCGTGACCTCAGTGAGTCACAGCTTCCTCTTCCATGGAATGGGGCTAATTCCCGCTCAGCCAGGCTCTCCGGGTTGTTGGGAGAACTGAAGGAGAAAGGCTTTGTAAATAACAGGCTCCAGCAAGCTCTGGGGGCAGCTGTCATGGTCAGGCTGGTCAGGCAGATGGAGGCTCCCATATACGAGCGAGTCTCAGCCTCCAACCACTTTGTATTCATGCTGGGCCCCTGACAGCAAATCCATAGGCAGAGGTCATGATGGAAAAGAGGCAGGTGCCCTGATGACCTCCTTTGACCCAGCAAGTCAGGGAATATTCTGTCTTCTCAGTGTGTCTATATGTCTATCAGCATTTACAGTCTAGTCAGCTAAACTTCAGTACGGTGACACCCTTCACCTCACTCCTTCCAGCAGCATCTCCTCCAAGCCCTAAGTGTAAAAGATGACCTACAAGCAGATCGGCACCTCTCCCACAGAATTCCACCCCACTTCCAGCAACTCAAGTGGCTTAATCAGAGTGAGCATCACAGCACCTTTCGGTGTGTTTGTGGCTAAGTAGGGGTTCATGTGCAGCTTCAAGCTTCGGAGCCACTGAGACTGGTGGTTCCCCCACAGCTCCCTAACCAGGGTCTTGGCTAAGCTGGGCTCACAGAGACGGAAAGTGCAAGGCCTCCCAGACACTTCAACGACCGCTGCTGGCCAGACCCTCTTGGCTTTTTGGAAGCAGTGAGGAGGGGGAACCCCCGTGCCCGAGAGTGGCTCTGCAGTCTTTGCTTACACCCAGCCCCTGTCAGGTGGCCCCCTCTGCAGCGCAGAGCATTCATTACTGGAGAATTCTCCTTATGCCATTTTCTAGCACACGTCTCAGAAAAACATCCCAGCCACCTTCACTCTTCCTGCCCACAGCCTGCAGAGACGTATAATCAAATAGCCCCGCCTCCACGTCAGTCACCTTGCAAAGCCTTGAAGCCTTGGAGCGGGACTCGTGTGGACCCAGTCACAAACTGCAACAGCCTGGCCCTCCTTTCTTCATCAAACGTCTCCACTGCTTGCCAGAACCACCGGACGATGTTGCTGTCGGCCACACAGTGCTTTAGCCGCGTGTTTGACTTCCAGTCGTTCAGGTCTATTTTATCCAGGCCACCTATGATCAGCTGAGGAGGTGCCGAAAGGTGAGTTACTCCCAAAATGTATAAACCCACGTCAGGACACGCCTCCTAAGTACCCAACACACACACACAAGTGAAAAGTCAGTTCCCAAACAAAGCAGTGGCTGTGTCCAAAGAAACTAGACAGTAGTTGAGACAGGAAGAAAGCTACGAACAGAAGACCTGTGGTACATGCTTCCCTTCGCCTCCTCCAGGCTGGCCTCCAACCCCGAGGACCACGGTGCACAGCTACTGATGGGACATCATCTTACAACCAAAGCAGGGTTTCTGCTCTGCATTGGTGAGGAGTGAGTATCAACCACCCAGTGACACTGAACAGAGCTAACCGTGAGTAAGAGCACGTCCCAGGGTCTCTCCAGGACACTCAGGGACGTGTGAAGTTTCAAGTCTGAAGAAAGGAGAATTCAGCAAGGGTTACGTGGGGCTGGGGTAGATGGGATGTGTTTCTGCAACTTGCTTAAAAAGTTCATCCCCTGCTGGGTGCAGTGGCTCATGCCACTATATTCCCAGCACTTTGTGGGGGCTGAAGTTGGGTGGATCACTTGAACCCAGGAGTTCAAGGCCAGCCTGGGCAACATGGCGAAACCCTGTCTCTACAACAAATAGAAAAATTAGCCCGGCGTGGTGACGTGCACCTGTAGCCTCAGCTACTCAGGAGGCTGAGGTGGGAGGATCGCTTCAGCCTGGGAGGTCGAGGCTGCAGCGAGCCATGATTGCACCACTGCACTCCAGCCTGGGCAATAGAGCAAGACTCTGTCTTTAAAAAAAAAAAAAAAAAAGACACAAAAGTTCACCCCAGAACTACTGCCCCATCCAAGCTCTTGGCTTCCAGGCTCTCCTCACTGGCAGTAGAAAGACTCGGAGAACAATCTACAAGGCTTGAGCTGTTTCGCACCAGCAACAGTAAGGGATGAATGAGTCACTGTTCAAGCGCATGAGCAGGACTGGAGAGGACAGTATCCCCTTGTTCTTGATCTAGTAACAGCCAGAATAAAAGGCAGTAAGTTGTGGGAGAACCTGGTTTTCCCAGGAAAGGAGAGGGCCACGTGATCTCCCTGCTAGAGATCCTGAAAACGAGAGAAGCCACAACCACCTTGAACTACGTCCCGGGAATTATTCAGATTTCCGACCACCATGCAGACATCTCACTGGTTACCAACTGACATAAACACCCTCTACTCCCCGCTGTTGCTCCAGCTGACTCTATTCTGGGAACCCCAACAGCTCCTGGGCTTTCTAGAAAACAGCGCATGCCACACCCTGCATCAAGGATTTAAAACAGGCAGACGCCAGCCACGGGGGAGCCCCTGAGTGCCCTGGGTGGACTCCGCATAGCAGGCACGTACCTCCAGTTCCTTCTGGTCAAAAGGCTTCAGCAAGTGTTGAGGGATGAGTTCATTGAACCCCTTCTGCAAAGCTAAGAACTGGGCTTCAATTCCTCTCATAAACCTCCAGTTTACATACAACCTGCAAGAAAAACTCACAAGTTGGACGCAACGCCAAGTGGATTTTCCTCCATAGGCAGGTTTTGTTTTGTTTTTGAGACAGGGTCTCACTTCGCCCAGGCTGGAGTACAGTGGCGCAATCCTGGCTCACCGCAACCTCCGAGCAGTTCTTCTACCTCAGCCTACCTAGTAGCTGGGCTTACAGGCATCTGCCACCATGCCTGGCTAATTTTTGTATTTTAGTAGAAATGGGGTTTCACCATGTTGGCCAGGCTGGTCTCAAGCTCCTGACCTCAGGTGATCTGCCCGTCTCGGCCTCCCAAAGTGCTGAGACTACAGGCATGAGTCACCACACCCAGCCCTTGAGCAGGTTCTGATGTCACAGTCTGACAAACATGGGAACGTATTGGGGGCCCCCTCTAGATCTCCCCACCAAGACACACAAAAACCCCACCAGCTAGTAGTACCAAAGCTTAGCATCACGTTAAAAATGACTCAGCACGTGCCCTGATTCATTCTGGTTCGCTACTGAAAACAGCAGGATTGAACCCGACTTGTCACATCAATTGCTGTAACTTGAAAGCACGTTCTGGCCAGGCATGGTGGCTCACACCTGTAATCTCAACCCCTTGGGAGGCCAAAGCAAGAGGATCGCTTTAGGCCAGGGGTCCGAGACTAGCCTGGCAGCACAGCAGGACCCTGTATCAAATGTTAAACATTTAAAAATGTTTAAAAGTGCAATCGAAAGGACAGCGCAGGACAGCCGGGCACACAGCCATGCCCACGCACTTCTCAGCTGCCAGTGCCTAGGCCTGAACATGGATTTGCCTCAACTTAGGGATGGAAAAGACTGATAGGGTGGCTTCCTCGGACGGATCATAAGACCCTCCAAGCAGCTACTCTCTCCTTGGCCCCCCAACTTTGCACCCAGAATTAAGTCGTCACTTGAAAGTCCTTCCCCACGTGGGCTCTGTCCCTCAGGCAGGCCTGGCCTCATCAGGACCCCTCCAAGCAGATCCCTGATGCGGCTGCTGAGCTGTCGGTTTCTGAAAATCACTTCTGTTCCTGTGATCTGATCACAAGCGTCAGCCATCAGGGACACGCAGGCCTCACACAGCAAATGAGCTACAGCAACTAAATGCAAACTCAGTCATGCCCTAGGTACCTGGCTGTGCCCACTAGGCGACTTACCTGACATATTCTTTCTTGTTCTCCTCTGTGACAGGCACGTTTCTGCCATTGGGTTTCAGTTCATGCTGAAGAATCCGCCCAAAGGCATTGTGTTCCACGCAGAAGGTATGGTCCAGCACTGGTGTGATGTCATTCTCTCTGTTGAAGACAGAAGGTAACGTCGGTTAGAGTTCAGCCACAACGTGCCAACGAAAGGAACATCAGGTAGGGCCATCGGGCAGACAGACAGCGTTTAGGACTCCCAGACCCAGGCTGCGAGAGAGGACAGCCGCAGGTGGACACGGAACCCATATGGGGGCGGCATAGCAAATGGTGCTGGGAGGACCCGGAGACCACAGTTCTGGTTCCAGATGTCCCCGACTCCTGGCTTCCTCACTCATAGAAGGAGGGCAGCATAGAAGGCAGGAAATTGACCTGGAGATGAAGCCATGCCAAGAAAATACATTTCTCCCCTTAGAGCCAGTCTTTCGAAACACATCAGTTCAAATGCAAAAGCACTTAAAAGTGAAAATTAGCTCTTGAATCTGCCACAGTTTCTGAGCCGTAAGCAGAATGGAAGTTTTTTTTTTTTGAGACAGAGACTCACTTTGTCATCCAGGCTGGAGTGCAGTGGTGCGATCTCAACTCACTGCAACCTCTGCCTCCTGGGTTCAAGCAGTTCTCCTGCCTCAGCCTCCTGAGTAGCTGGGACTACAGGCACATGCTACACCCGGCTTTTTTGCGTGTGTGTTTTTAGTAGACGGGGTTTCACCAGGTTGGCCAGGCTGGTCTCGAACTCCTGATTTCAAGTGAAACGGCAAGTAATCTGCCCACCTCGGCCTCCCAAAGTGCTGGGATAACAGGCAATGAGCCAACACTCTGAGTGGAAGATTTTCTACCCAGCCCCTGGAGTCCCCTTTTCAAGTTGGAACATGGGACATAACTAGGAGGCCCCTACTCCAACTCATCCACATTCCTTCTGTCTGCCAGAGCAGAGCCTGATATTTCACCCCCATGAAATCCGCAAGACCCATGACACTCACAGTTCATCTTGTCATTGCCTGCTGTCCTTAACAGAATATCTAGAATAATTCTAAAGCAGAGGTACCTAAATGTTCAATTTGTTTTGATACGGGCTTGGCCCCTGTGTAGGTTAACTGGAGACACCCGTGAGTGTCACACACGCCCCACACCGGGCCTGGGAGTAGCCTGTTAATGTTCGTGATCTTACCTTCACAATTCAAGGAAACGAAAGAATCTAGTCCCTGAAGAGAAGCTGGCCCAACATCACGAGGAAAATAAGGCAACTGAGTATTTTTTTTTAGGCTAGATCTGGTGTTTTTTTGTATTTATTGCAGTAGTGGGGTCTCACGATATTGCCCAGGCCGGTCTCAAACTCCTGGGCTCAAGCAATCTGCTCACCCTGGCTTCCCAAAGAACCTTCTTTTTTGTTTCAGGTTATATAATACAATGGCTTCTTTGTGTCTCTTCTTCAATTTCGCACCCATCCCCAAAATACATGCACACGCATGCATACAGACAACAGGTGGTGGTGTGCCCCACGCCAGGTGACCATGCACCATCAGTCAATACTTACAGAATCCACACCAGGCTCTTATGCAGCTCCGGGTCCACGGATTCCAGATCCGAGAGCTGGATGGGCTTTCCCAGGAGCTGCTTATAGAAGGGCACTGTGAAGCCCCCGTTGATGTAGTGCCCATGGAACACAGCCAGCCCCATGATCCGCCCCACAAAGTGGAAGTAAGACAAGTGGTCCTGTAGGGGGCACCAGAAAACACAGATTCGTCAGCACGACGCTGGTCAATGTGGGAATCTCATGCTGCCGCAGGCTTCTTGGGAAAAGTATCCCAGAGGCAACCAGACTCAGGGACTCACAGGCCCCACTCATGAGCAAGTGAAAGATGGCTGCCTGTGTAGCTGAGATTTGCATAGAGTCACTGGACAATGTTTTGTATGTTCTCAGGGCCAATACCTCCTCAGAGGCTATATAACTTGCAGAGGAGCCCAGTCCAGTGCAAAATGAAAATGCAGAGTCCATGCTCAACAATGACTGAGCATTTCACCTTGGTGACAACAGAGAATCAAACCAAGCGCGCTCGACACTGCAGGGCCTCAGCATCCTGCAGGACGCACGCCCAGGAAGGCAGCCCTGCATTCCCTCCCACTGCACGAGAAAGACAAGGGCAAGCCCCCTTCTTCTTCTACCACCCCTCCCTTGATCCAGAATGAAAGGAATGAGGGAGGGAAGAAATTCTAAGAAGGGGGACCAAAAAGACCACAGGAAAATATGTATGAATAAGCCAAGTAAAATAAACAATTCTAGGCTGGGCGTGGTTGCCCATGCCTGTAATCCCAGCACTTTGGGAGGCTGAGGCGGGCAGATCACCTGAGATCAGGAGGTCGAAACCAGCCTGGCCAACATGGTGAAGCCCTATCTCTACTAAAAATACAAAAACTAGCTGGGTACAGTGGCACAAGTCTGTAATCCAAGCTACTCGGGAGGCTGAGGCGGGAGAATCGCTTGAACCTAGGAGGCGGAGGTTGCAGTGAGCAGAGATCATGTCACTGCACTCCAGCCTGATCAACAGAGCAAGACTACGCCTCAAACAAACAAACAAAAATTCTAGAACCAGAGCTGTCTGGTTTTTAACTCAGGAATCATACGCCTCTGCTTTCAGGTTTGAATTGTGTTCATCTCAGAAAATGAGTGAAAACTCTGCTTCCATGTTGGCAAAAGGTTCTTCCACATTTGAATGCACAGGGGAGCCTGTCTCAACTTCACCTCAGTGGCCTGAGCAGGACACTGGTGAAGGCCGTGCCACCAGAGGAGGAGTCTGCCCCTGGCTGGCGGCCCACCCTTGGGCGGAGTGTGCAAACACCACGCTGACTTCCTCATCTGTAAAACAAGCACGCTAAGGGTGGCATTTGTGGCTTAAAAAGCCAGTTCTGGAAAGATTCCAGTTGTGACTGGGAGGAGGCTGGACTTTGGAACCCACTCCTTAGAATGTCACCATGAACAAATACAGTCATCACACCAGAGTTCCCTCAGTGACCATGAAATGTCCTGAGTATATGAACAGCTCAATCTCACCCTTCATCTCCTTCAATACAACATGCCCAGTGATCACAATCTCTGAAAATACAGGATCGAAATCCATCTTAATCCAGTTTTCACTTTACCTTTCCATGTTTTGCTTACCACTGCCCTCGATTAAGTCTACAATGAATAAACCAAGAATGGAGAATGAAACTGAAAATCCATCTCAAAAATTCTCCAACTCAGTTCCCCCTTTGTTCATTCATACTTACAGGGTTGATTGAAGAATCTGGATTTATTTGCAACATGTAAATATTGTCTGTAGAATACTGGAAGAGCCCATAATATGGATTCAGCATTTCATGGCACAACAAATAAAGCCATTCCCTAGGAAAAAACAACAAACATTCATTTTATATGTGCTAAAATTTCTACAGTTTGTTTTTTTTTCTGAGACAGAGTCTCACTCTGTCACCAGGTTTGGAGTGCAGTGGCGCGATGTCGGCTCACTGCAACCTCTGCCTTCCAGGCACAGGCGCGTGCCACCAGGCCTGGCTAACTTCTTTATTTTTAGTAGAGACGGGGTTTCACCATGTTGGCCAGGGTGGTCTCAAACTCCTGACCTCACATGATCCACCCACCGTGGCCTCCCAGAGTGCTGGGATTACAGGCATAAGCCATCACGCCAGTCCCGAGTTATTATTTTTTTAATGTTTGCATCATTTTGTTATTTTTTAAAAACTCCAAAGTTCAAAAGAGTTAAGCAAAAAAAGAAAAAGAAAGCATTATTTTAAATAGAGGTTGTATGATTCAGTGGCTACACTCAGGTTGCGATAAGCCCAGCTAGCAGGGGAACCCTTAGACAAACACCTGTGGCAGATACACAAACAATCTTTTATTCATTCTACTCAAAACGCCTTTTCAATGGATCACATTAAGATAGCAGCTCCAAATTTTATTTGGACTTCTCAGACAGAATGAGAGAGAACAGGGGAGGATAAGCACAAATGCAGATAATCTGTCCAAGAAAATTGTGAGAATACACAAAAAATATTAAATGAACATAGTTCTGTATTGCACTCAGAAGAACAGAAAGGAACTGCCTGAAGAGATGAGACTCTGAATCCTATAAAGTCTCTTTACTACAAAGCAACACTGCTGGATTTTCATTCATCCCAAAGTTTGGAGTTTGGATTTGAGAAGAACCTTTTTTGAAAAAGACAAAGACCTGCAATCGTCTAGACAGGAAGTGATTACAATACAAGCAAACAGTCTGACCGAGCCATGGACGACGTAAAGATACAATCAGCTCTGTTCTGGAAGTGGTAAGGGAAGCAATAACTAACAGGCAAAAAGAGGGCGGCTACAGGAGGGGCTGTGGACTAAATACTGGGGAAATGAGTGTAGCCTGGCTCTCCCAGATCAGATAATGAATCCACACCTGCACATGTGTAATCCACATGCAACTGACTTCTCTCCACCCTCTCTGAGATAGGCATGATCCCGTTTAGACGGGAGGAAGACTCCAGTGGGTGAAATAACACTGCAAGACCAAGCTGGAGGTGGCAAAGCAGGGATTCTCAACTCTTTCTACTCCAGCATCATGCCGTTCAAGGGGATGTCACAAAGACCATCTACGCAGAAGACTGGACGACTAAGGAAAACACAGAAAGAGTGTAACTCTTACCAAACCAAACCAGGGAGTCTGATGGCTACGTCACAGGCATTTCAGAACAACCAAAGAAAGGAAATGTGCAAATAAATTAACAAAAAGTAAAATTCCTTCATTTGGTACGTATTTACAGAGGTAAGTCTTTGCTGTGTGTTAGGTGCTGTTCTAGGAACTGGGGATCAGCTGTGAACAAGACAGGGTTCCCGACTGCATGCAGTTTATGAGTCTTTTGGAAGATGCAGACGAGAAACATCACACCACACACCCATGCAGTGGTCACAGCATGACAAGGGAGGACGCCAAGAAAAGGAAAGCTATGGGACACCCAGGACAATGGCCCTAACCCAGGGAAGCAGTGAAATCTCACGATGACTGCAGCACAGAGGAGCGAGAGAATCGTCATCAGGCTGCACAGAAGCCTCAAGGGAAACACAAGGGGGCTGTCAGAAGGTATGATGTGTAACCGTCCTGGAGGACTTTGAAGTTCCAGGAGCAACGAAGACAATGAAAGCTACTGGGGAGGGAAGAAGACTTTGGGAAGCTGAGGTGGGAGGATCACCTGAGGTCAGGAGTTCAAGACCAGCCTGGCCAACATGGTGAAACCCCATCTCTACTAAAAATACAAAAATTAGCTGGACATGGTGACTTGCACCTGTAGTCCCAGCTACTCGGGACTGGGGCACGAGAATCACTTGAACCTGGGAGGTGGAGGTGGCAGTGAGCTGAGATCGTGGCAGTGAGGTGAGATCTGGCCAATGAACTCCAGCCTAGGCCACAGAGTGAGACTTCGTCTCCAAAAAAAAAGAGGAAGGAGAAATTATTGGAAAAATTAGAATTTGCTCCAAAAAATTAAATAAATTATAGAATACTATTTAACTCCTTAATGGACAATATTTACATTCATAATATAAACAATATAAACTTTCATCCATTTACAAATAATTGGTAGACAAGCATAGGAGACTGACCAAATTTTGGTTACAGAAGAGAATGTAAATCTTCAACCTTGACAATATAAAAGTAATGTTACAGATGACAGAATTTAAGAGGCAGAAAGAATGCTGAAGAGAAAGTTACAAGTATGAATATCCTGTTCTTATGCAAATGAGAGGTCCAAAGATAATGTCTCCAGTTGACAAATTAAAAAATAAATGTGAAAGCACAGGACATAAAGTTACAAATGATGGAAGAACTAAAAAGATTGATATTACTAAATTGAACATGAGAATAATTAGATTCAGTCTATCTTATATATATATGCCCATAAATCATTAAATCAGGAAATAACAAGATACCTACTCAAACAAAGAGCTAAAAGAGTTAAGAAGCAGTTGTCTCAACCAAGCACAGTGATTCATACCTGAAATTCAGCACTTTGGGAGGCCAAGATGGGAGGATGGCTTGAGTCCAGGAGTTTGAGACCAGCCTGGGCAACACAGTGAGGCCTCATCTCTACAAAAAACTTTTTAAAAAGTAGCCAGGCATGGTGGTGCATACGTGTAGTTCCAGCTACTTGGGAGGCTGAGGTGGGAGGCTTGCTTGAGCTTACGAGGTCGAGGCTGCAGTGAGCTATGATTGTGCCACTGTGCTCTAGCCTGGGCAACAGAGCAAGACCCTGTCTCAAAAAAAAAAAAAAAATGACAAAAAAACCCACCCATAATTGTCTTGAAGGTGAAAAGAGGCAGGACATGAAATAGCAGCTTTTCATCATTCTATTCTGTTTTTTATATCATTTTCTTGAATTATTTTGACCAAAATTTCAACATTTTATTTTACAAAATTCCTTTGACACAAATGCAATTTACACGCACAGATGCAATCCCTGTGGAGAGGAGAGCAAGGCTGCCTCCTGTGCCAATTCAGGAACATGTCCCTTATGTTTCAGATGAAGAGAGTGAGTTTAAAAGTTTAATTCTAGCTTTACAAGAAGTCAGTCAGTGGTGACGATCATGGCTATTCTGGTGGGTTATGGCAAGAGGCTGGCACGAGCATGCTCTGAGGAATTCTTATTCTCAGCAGCGTAGCTGAAGCCAGCGCACGATGGCCTGACTGCTCCAAGGATACATCGGCCCTGCCCAGGAGTGCTTGGTGATGAGCACTAGAGAAGGGCAAGTGACTTCTCTTGAAAAAACTGTTACAACTATGCTGAAATCCACACAGCAGAGAAGGTGAATGAATTAGCAACTCACCTCGCCACTCCACCGTAATCCAAACCTTCTTCCCCACGGAATTTCACCATGAGCCGTTTTTTCAAATCTTTTGGTCTCATCTTCATTATCTGGCGGTAAGACTCCTGAACATCAAAATTACAGTTTCAGAGAGAAGAATGGTTCTTATTCTTAAAGTTATAAAAGGTTATTGATAATGGAGCCTGGTTAAGAGTAAGCATTCATTCCAATTCAAGCTTTATCTGGCTCCTAATTAGAATGTTTCTTTGGCATCTAGTCTATTCCATCATCTTTTTTCTCAGTTTCTCCCTTTGAGACAGCAACAAAACAAACAATGCCAGGAAACGCTAACCTGAAGGGAAACACGTGTCTGTTTTCAGTGAATCACCAAGGACTTAGACAGATCTCCCTAGAATTGATTTTTCTCTGTATCAATTAATATCAGTGCAAACTATAAACAACTTAGGCATTGCAAACAAAATCAAGACATTGGGAAGTCTGAATGCTAAGAGAGTTCTGACCTGGTTTTATATCTAAAATGAAAAATCACATTTGACTTTCCACTGAGTCAAAAAGCAAAAAAGATTTTAAGTTTTTAAGACATAAGGTGGCTTAAGCACTGCACAGAACACACGTGATCAGCCTATTTCCCCTGACTCAGCACTTGAAGTAGAAGCTGCTGCATGTTTGTAGATACATTCAGTGACAAGGCACTGAAGAATTTTTCAGCTTTAAATTTAACGAAATTCAAACTCCAGCAACCCAGTCAACGCGTTGGCTCAAGCCTATAATCCCAGTACTTTGGGAGGCCGAGGTGGGAGGATCACTTGAGGTCAGGAGTTCGAGACAAGCCTGGCCAAGATGGTGAAACCCTGTCTCTACTAAAAACACAAAAAAAATGTCGGGGTGTGGTGGTACACGCCTGTAATCCCTGCTACTTGGGAGGCTGAAGCAGGAGACTCACTTGCACCTGGGAGGTGGAGGTTGCAGTAAACTGAGATTGCACTCCAGCCTAGGCAACAGAGTGAGACTCCATCTCAAAAAAAAAAAAAATCAAACTCTGGCAAGAAAGAGGAAACGATCTGGTAGTAAAGTCAAAACTTCAGCACTTTTCTAGCCCTGCAACAAGGGCAGACGTGCAGCAGACAGGGCAGGGCGCTGTGGCCAAGCTGCCCATCCAACACCCAGGCCACACCTCACGGTGGGGAAGGCACTCAGCTCTCTCGCCCTTGGTGTTCCCACAGCAGCTGTCACCCAGGGAGAATCTGTGCTCAGTCACCTGTGATCATTTCTGACAGTGTCTCCACAGAGGAGGGCAGGAAATGGTCCAAATGCCATGGAGATTTTCCTGTATGGTCGGCTGTCTTGGGAAAAGGTCCTAGTCTGTTTAGGGCCCTTCCTGCAGGAAGCTGTGTAAGGGACAGAGCCTGTCCCAAGAACTACCTGCTCCTTGCCAATTTCCATAGGAAAAGCAGGACGGCCGCCAGCCCTGAGCTGCTCTGAGAAGGACGGCCCTCAGATGACATCCCTACACAAGGACACAGGAGGGAGGCTGCCTGGCTCTGGGGAAAGTGCAGATTGCCGGAATATTTCACTCACATAATGTAGACAAGGCAGTTCCCATTATTTTTAAATGTTTTCAAGTTTCTGTATATACCTCTAGATTTTCCCCTAGAGGTGAAACTATTTAGAGTTTCTCCATTTTTACCATAAGAGGAAATAAATAACGTTCCCTCCCTCTACACAGGCTGTGGTCCTGACAAACTCTCCATTTCCCTCAGTAATCAAATCAATACCTGAAGTACCAAATAGAAAGAAGGGCTCCCTGAAATGCAGACATCAGCCACAAGGCAGTTCACTGAAAGCAGCCCCTTTGAAACAAAGGCGTCTGCAATTCCTTTTTCTAAATCGCCTTCTTTGTTTCTGAACAGGGTCTGGGCAGTGGCCCTGAACTCTCTACCTCAAAGATTTCTTCTCTGGACACTTCGATGCGGCAATGACCAGCTTGGGGCTGCTGAAGGGACAGTTCGTGTCTGAGGACCTTCAGCTTCTGGACTAGATCTCTTTCATATCTCTGGGCAGGAAGCTCCTCGTCCTCCACAGAGCCCTCGCTGGGCAGTGGCAGCGGCTGGCTGGGCTCCTTGAGTTGGCACTGGTGACTTGAGAAGAAGAGACACAGAAAGTCACTCCAAAGCCCCAGCCCAGAAAGCTGCAAGCACCCACATACGCGACAGGGTTGGAGGAGAGAGCTTGCTGCACGCAACTTCAGACAGAATTTGCTTCCCTGATGACATAACCATGTACCTTGCTAGCTGTGTCAAAGTTGCTGATGGCCACAGTAGCCCAAATATAGGTCTACAGTACGGTAAAGGAGGCACCCCAGGCCTGGCATGGTAGCTTACACCTATAATCCCACCACCTGGGGAGGCCGAGGAGGGAGGATCACCTGAAGTCAGGCATTCAAGACCAGCCTGGCCAACATGGCAAAACTGTGTCTCTACTAAAAATGTAAGAAATCTGCCAGGTGTGGTGGCGGGCACCTATAATCCCAGCTATTTGGGAAGCTGAGGCATGAGAATTGCTTGAACCCAAGAGGCGGAGGTTGCAGCGGGCCAAGATCACGCCACTATCCTCCAGCCTGGGCGACAGAGCCAGACTCTGTCTCCAAAAAAAAAAAGAGGTACCCCAATTCCAAGCAACCACTTATCTCACACGTGACTTCTACAAATAAAAATGGAAACTGCTGTCATTTATTATGCATCTATTACGCACACATGAGATGGACCAGTGCTCTGTCAGATGCACCCTGGCAGTTAGAATGAAACGGAGATGATAGGAAAAAATGTTAAAGGAGCTAACAGAGCTCAAATGAAATCTAATGATAGGCACAAGAGCAGACAGCTCGAGTGAAATCTAATGAGAACCAGCCCTCATTTTTACCACCAAGAGATTTCTACACCTTCTCATTGAGAGAAAAATTTCAGTAAAAGGACTAGGATTAGTACGGTGACAAAGTGGCATTTGTCCTGTTCAAGTTTTGCCACTGAGACACAGCTGTTGGTTACAAGAGCTATGTGGGGGGCTGGACGTGGTGGCTCACGCCTGTAATCCCAGCACTTTGGGAGGCCGAGGCAGGCGGATCACCTAAAGTCAGGAACTCAAGACCAGCCTGGCCAACATGGCAAAACCCCATCTCTACTAAAAATACAAAAATCATCTGGCCGTGGTGGCGGGCGCCTGTAATCCCAGCTACTCAGGAGGCTGAGGCAGAAGAATCATTTGAACCTAGGAAGCGGAGGTTGTAGTGAGCCAAGATCGCGCCATTGCACTCCAGCCTGGGCAACAGAGCAGGATTCTATCTCAAAAAAAAAAAAAGCTATGTGGGATATTTGGCTCTGAGAACACAACAGGACTGGAATACTAAATATGGGATCCAAGGTAATTCCCAGTTCCAAGTTATCCAGTTACCCACTGTGCAGGCACTAGGGGGATATCACATTTCTCTACTTCTCAACCTAAGGGCCACGGGTGTCTAAAGTGCTGCATCAGGAAGCTTCCTTCATGAAGCTGCCTAACACTGTCATCTCGGTAAATTTTATTTAGGCTGCAAGTAAGAAAAGGGTAGCAGCAACATATGGCTTCAGTGCTCTTCACAGCTAATTTAACAGTTTAAAATATGCAATTATCCACCAAATGTTTAACGTCATTTTGACCACGCTTATTATCCAACCAGCAAGGCAATAGATAAATTCAGAAAAATATCAACCCAAGAAAAGATTCAATTCTCAATGAAAGAGGTCAGCAAAAAAAATTTTTAAGTCTTACTTCATGATGTGGTGTAATCTTGGGTCTGTAAACTGGGTTGTTCGGTTATTATGATCTACAAAATATATCCTCCCAGAAACTGTACTTCTGACTTCCCAGCCTGGTGGCAGTGGTCCAAGTTCATCACAATTCACACTGTTAAGGTCTCTACCAAAAGGGAAGATACAGAGAGGTTGGTCCAACTGAGTACAAAGGAATGAGATCAAAAGTTAGCCACAGAAGCCACAGAGGTTCCTTATCAAGGTGTCTGTCCCAACTCTGCTGAGATGGACCTTCGTGGTGCTACTTACACCAAACCTCTACTCAGCCCAGACCTTTCTGCTGCAAAGAGCAGCAACATCTGAGAGATTAAAAATGGAACTTTCAGGCACTCTGGGAGTCCGAGGCAGGTTGATCACCTGAAGTCAAGAGTTCGAGACCAGCCTGGCCAACATGGTGAAACCCCATCTCTACTCATAATACAAAAATTAGCCTGGTGTTATGGTGGGTGGCTGTAATCCCAGCTACTTGGGAGGCTAAGGCAGGAGAATTACTTGAACCAGGGAGGCAGACGTTGCAGTGAGCTGAGATCACACCATTACACTCCAGCCTGTGTGACAAGAGCAAAACTCCATCTCCAAAAAAACAAAACAAACAAAAAGGAACTTTCAGAGCTTATAACCATGATAAGGAACAGGGGCTCCCCAGCAAATATAATTTCTTATATGAAAGAAGGCCCAAATAGTAGGGAATATCTTAGTGCTGCTGGAAAGCTATCTGAATTCACAAGTGTAATTAAATGCTCAAGGCCAGAAAAGTTTCTTCATTGAAAAGCTCCCAGACAGCACCAAGATTTTCAGGGCTAAGGAAAATACAGGAACATGCATCCAGAAACTCATGATTCTAAACAGTTGCACCAGGATAAGGCATTCTCATGGTCAAATGGGGTTTTTGTTAAACAAGTATTTTCCATTCTAAGAATGATTAATTATTCTCTTGATTAATAATTTCAACACAATCTACAGTCAGATGGGAGTGCAGATTTACTGACCAAGATGTGTTTCTAATTAACACAAAGCCTGCCATTTCTAACAGTGGGTACTAAAGAGATACCTCATTCATTTGCAGGTAATATATTTCCATTCTCATTAGAGTAACTGAATTCATAAATTGAACACAGACTTGAAAAATCAAAGACAGGAAGTTTACTCTCAGATGAAACAGATTATAAATAAAAAGGAAATAAGCATTACTAAAAATCATATTTGGTAGTAATGCTATTCTAAAAGGGAAAAAAAAGCAAAGAAAAAAAGAAACTTAACTCTGTTATGGGGTGGGGGGGTCTCTCTAACCTGGGTTCAGATGTATGGCCTTGTAGAAGGAATTCGTATAGAAAAGCTTCATCTCCCCCAGGAATGGTCCCCGAGGGACTGAGGCACGGGGACAGTAATGTGGAAGAGAGAAAGGGTAACAGAGTCTTTATATTTCCTTGACTTATGGAAAATTTTAAGCATATCAAAAATGAGAGAGACCATAATGAATCACTGTGAAACCAACTTCAACAGTGATCATGGTCAACCTTGTTTCAAAGGTCAACAATGACTCATGGCCAACCTTATTTCACACATACCCCTGTCCACTCTCCCCCCACCCAGCTTATCTGAAGCAAATCCCAGACATCAGTATCGTCTCATTCATCGTATTTTTAGTTTAAAACAAGAGCAACACATCTGGAAGGGTATTGGCTTTTCAAGTCAACTGCTGGAAAGACAGCTTGGAGGGTGTGCCTTTCAGAAGCTTACCTTGGTATCCTGGGGTCATGCCACGTGCTAACTCCAGTCTGTGTGTGCAAAAAGTAAACCTGGCCCTGGACTGTCGTTCTTTGTTCTGCACGAGAAATTAGGGATCCAAATTAGACAAGTTCAATTCCAGGGAGGGTCTGCCACCAGCCCGCTCACTGTGCCCTCACTTCTGGTACTATCTAAATCTAGACAGCACTCCCTCTCTTACTCCAGTTCTTCTCTGTGAGGCGGCCAGATAATCCCTTCTCAGTCTTACCCCATGCCCTCCTTCCCAGAGCACTACAGGGACCCTCATCTTGCCTACATGTTATCTTGATTTGCTTTGGTTTTCCCTTGCCTAAGATTTTCACATGATTTCAAAACTGGAATATTTGGAGCAATTGCTGAAAATTCATCATTAGCTAAATCTCGCACCATTTGCTTCCAGTTCTGTCTTTACACTGCCACAGTTATCAAATGGCATAACCATGCGAGCATCAGCATTTATACACAAACAGGCTACTCAAAAGGGTTAGAGGCCAGGCATGGTGGCTCACACCTATAATCCCAGCACTTGCGTGAATGAGGCAAGCAGATCACTAAGCCCCAGAGTTAGAGACCAGCCTGGGCAACATGGTGAGACCCATTCTCTACCAAAAAAACCACAAAAATTAGCCAGGCATGATGGTGCCTGCTTGTAATGCCAGCTACTCGGGAGGATCGCTTGAGCCAGGGAGGTCAAGGCTGCAGTGAGCCATGATCATGCCGCTGCACTCCAGCATGGGTGACAGAGCAGGACGTTGTCTTAAAAACAAAGTCAAGCTGTTGGAAACAGGGCAGATGGCACTGGCCATACCAGGGTACATTCTCTCACCGTAGCCTTCAGGCAGTTCCGGGGACTGGTGGCCGTGTGGTCGGTTCTGGGGCGTCTGCAGTGAACCTCGCACATCAGGGTTTCGAAGTCGCTGTGCCTGAAGTCTTTGATCTTGACTTGGGGACTCCACGAACCTGCAGTTCCCTCCTCCAGCAGCAGCACCGGTGCCATCTGTGTAAGGGGCTGGCTCCTCCATGAAGCAGCTGAGCGGCCTCCCAGGCCCCGAGTCTTCATACACCGTTCTGAAAGGGACGAGAGCAGGTAGGCATGGTGACACCATGGAGGAGTCGTAAGACCAGTGCCTTGGCGCTAGTGTCCTAGGGGACGCCCTCACATATATTCCTTTAACAATTTCGAGTGTTCCAATGGCCTGGTTTCGTAAAAATTCATCATGGGCCACTCAAACAGAAAGACAGACTCTTCCAAGAGGAACAGGTGGCCAGAGTGTCACCAAGGCCAACTGTACAATTTCACCATAGGGGAGACTGGAATGAATGGAAGAAACCAACTTTACACTGTGAGGAATTTGTGAAATGAAATTTCATTTTTCTTGATTTAAAATCACATCCAGACCAGTGCGGTGGCTCAAGCCTGTAATCCCAACACTTTGAGAGGCTGAGGCAGGCAGATCACTTGGAGGTCAGGAGTTCAAGACCAGCCTGGTCAAACTCCATCTTTACTAAAAACACAAAAATTCGCTGGGCATGGTAACACATGCCTGTGGTCCCAGCTACTCCGGAGGCTGACGCATGAGAATCGCTTGAACCCAGGAGGCAGAAGTTGCAGTAAGCTAAGATTGTGCCACTGCACTCCAGCCTGGGCAACAGAGCAAGACTCCATCTCAAAAACAAAATAAATCACATCTAAATACTCCATTTTCCTTGTTATTTTACTCTATAATGGAACTCCTGGTTACATAAAATACCAAAATGACTTTAGGTAGTTTTTAAATTTCAATCTTCACCCCCTGAGCAATTTTGAAGACAATTTACCTTAGTAGGCTACTGTCCCTTAAAAGCAAATACTTTTATAAAACCTTAGACTGACAAATTTCAAATATGTACATAAAATTAAGAGACCAGCACAGTGACCCCCCCGTATCCACCCCTCCCAGCTAACCATCATCCAATGTCCACTTTTCCAATCCCTCCTCACCAACCCCATTTTATGACTTCATCCTTAAATATTTCAGCCTCTAAAAGGGTCTACGTTATGCCTCTAAAAGACAAGGACTTTTTCCATGATCACGACCAAAAAATGTTCATCAATTTTTTAAAAAAACAGGCCAGGTGCGGTGGCTCACACCTGTAATCCCACTACTTTGGGAGGCCAAAGTGGGCAGAACATGAGGTCAAGAGATCGAGACCATCCTGGCCAACATGGTGAAACCTTGTCTCTACTAAAAATACAAACATTAGCTGGGTGTGGTGGCGTGTGCCTGTAATCCCAGCTACTCGGGAGGCTGAGAGGGGAGAATCGCTTGAACCTGTGAGGCGGAAGTTGCAGTGAGCTGAGATCACGCCACTGCACTCCGGCCTGGGTGACAAAGCAAAACCCTGTCTCAAAAAAAAAAAAAAAAAATCAAACACCAGTGTTCATATTTCTCCAACTGTCTCGTAAATCAGGATTCAAAGTCCACACTTTGCATTTGTAGCTGTCTCAAGTTTCTTTTAATATGAATTGATGCTAGGTTCTCCCCTCCTTTCCTTTTCTTGCAGTCTATTTGTTGAAGACACTGGGTGTTCTGGCCCAGAGAGGACCCCATTCTGGATGTTTGTTGATCACATTCCCTTGGGGCCGTGAGACACATTCCCAGTCACCTGTATTTCCAAGAGGTGTGTTCGTGTCGGATCATCTCTTTTGTGTTGTCGTTAGTGATGATTAATTACTGTTGGCCCGGTCTGAAAATTCATGGGGGGCTGCAACTGACAGTGACCAGAGTTCACTGGTTTGTCTTCTTTTTCAGCGTGTTGTTTTTTTCCCTGTCATTGTGAACCCCGTCAATGTGAACCCAAGGATTTTTAATATATTTGATATGTTCCAATTCATTGCAGTTACAATTCTTTTCTTTCCTTTGAGCCAGGGTCTTGCTGTGTCGCCCAGGGTGGAGTGCAATGGTGCGATCAGGGCTCACTGCAACTTCAAACTCCTGGACTCAAAAGCAATCCTCCCACCTCAGCTTCCCTAGGAGCTGGGATTACAGGTGCATGCTACCATGCCTGGCTAATTTATCTTTTTATTTTTTGGTAGCGACAAAGTCTCGCTATGTTGCCCAGGCTGGTCTCAAACTCAAGACCAAAGTCTCTGCCCACCTTGGCCTCCCAAAGTGCTAGGATTCCAGGCAGTTATAATTCTTACTGATGCTCAGACTCACCCATCTTTGGCCCATGGGAGCCACTTTAATTGGATTCTGGGTCTTTCAGGCACAACCCCAGTTGTTTTTACAGCTTCTTTTATAGACAAGTAAACTGTTCAGAGTTTTATCCCAACATCCTTTACGCATCTCAAGCACTCCCCAGAGTGACTTAAGGAGGGAAGGACACTTTCACAGAGGCCAAGAGGTTAAGACAGCAGAGAACTCGGCCCACCTCTCGCTGTGGTTATACGTACCCTTCATTTTCTAGCAGGCCTCTGCAGTCCACCACCGAGCCGCCGGTGCCGATTCTGTCTCGTGTCTGTAAACTGACTAAAACGGAAAAGAACGACGTGTGTTAAAACCCAGCGGGGTTTACATAATGATAATACAGTGAGTCATGGCTCATTTAGAATTTATGTACAATATCCGAAAAAAACGAGGCGTATATGTATGTACACACACACATATTCCTATGCTTTCACATACGAAGCATTTTACTCCGGTAGCTCATGCTAGCTGGAATATTTCTTATAAATGTGGCATAGAAAAGGGTCCTAAGTTCCTCCTGGTCTACATAAAAATAACAATGCGATACTCAGTCCCTCTAAGTTATTTTTAAGAAGATTGATGATTGATTGATTGATGAGATGGAGTTTTGCTTGTTGCCCAGGCTGGAGTGCAGTGGCATGATCTTAGCTCACTGCAACCTCTGCCTCCCAGGTTCAAGCGATTCACCTGCCTCAGCCTCTGGAATAGCTGGGAATACAGGCATGCACCACCACATCCAGCTAATTTTGTATTTTCAGCAGAGATGGGGTTTCTCCATGTTGGTCAGGCTGGTCTCAAACTCCCAACTTCAGGTGATCCGCCTGCCTTAGCCTCCCAAAGTGCTGGGATTACAGATGTGAGTCACCGCACCTGGCCAAGAAGATTTATTTTTTAAGACTTTCTTTGGGGTGGGCATGGGGGCTGATGCCTGTAATCCCAGCACTTTGAAAGGCTGAGACAGGTGGATCACCTGAGCCTAGGAGTTTGAGATCAGCCTGGGCAACATGGCAAAACCCCGTCTCTACTAAAAATACGAAGATTAGCCAAGCAAGGTAGCATGCGCTTGTAGTCCTAGCTACTCGGGAGGCTGAGGCAAGAAAATCGCTTGAACTCAGGAGGCGGAGGTTGCAGTGAGCTAAAATTACACCACTGAACTGCAGCTGGGGTGACAGAGCGAGATTCTGTCTCCAAAGAAGTTTTTTAAATTAAAAAAAGTTAAAAATAAGTTTTTTTGGAAGGGGATTAAGCCTCACTGTGTTGCCCACCCTTGGCCTCAGAGTAGCTAAGACTACAGGCACATACCACTGAGCCCAGTTTTTATTTCTTAAGAATATTCTGACAAGTTTAATAAAGACACAGAGAGGGTGGGCACGGTGGATCACGCCTGTAATTCCAGCACTTTGCGGGGCCAAGGAGGGTAGATCGCCTGAGGTCGGGAGTTCCAGACCAGCCTGGCCAACATGGCAAAACCCCATCTCTACTAAAAATACAAAACATTGGCAAGGTGTGGTGGCAGGCACCTGTAATCCCAGCTACTCAGGAGGCTGAGGCAGGAGAATCGTTTGAACCCAGGAGGCGGAGGTTGCAGTGAGCTGAGATCACACCACTGCCCTCCAGACTAGGTGATAGAGCAAGAGTCCATTTCGAAAAGAAAAAAAGAAATTCCACACGGGAAAGCATTAGGTGAGAACTTTTACATTATGGCAGATTTCAGGGTGTATGCCTGTAGTATTCATTTATCTTGGGTTTAGTCTACATAGGACAATACCTAAAAGATTTGGAGTTACCATCACTCCAGTGTGCTGCAGAGAGACTGTTTTCTTTGATTCCATGTAGTGAGTGCTTACAAGTCAATATTTGAGTTACCCCAAAATACTGAAACAAATGGGTGGATAATAGGATGAGCTATTAAACAGCTAAATCACTTCCAACAGACTGCCTCTAGCCAACACTTTGTAACATTAGCACGTTTTAATTTTTCATTCTAAATAATGCAATCCCCTGACTGTACAAATCATATCACATGGAATTCTTCACAACTCTTTGCTCTTTACTCATATGATGGAGCTTCCAGAAGAAAGAATTTCCCAACTCCCATATGTGTGGCCACCATTCTTATTATCTACCCTTGTGTAGTACAGTCACAAACGTACTGTCCATTACTGTAATGATTAAAATGACATTTAAAACTCTAACCCTAAATCTCTCTGTACACAAGTCATTTTAACTCAACTTTAAAAGCCAGGAGAAGGGGGCCAGGTACAGCGGCTCATGCCTGTAATCCTAGCAGTTTGGGAGGCCGAGGCAGGCGGATCACTTGAGGTCAGGAGATAGAGACCTGGCCAACATGGTGAAACTCCATCTCTACTGAAAATACAAAAATGTGCTGGGAGTGGTGACGGGAGCCTGAGGTCCCAGGGACTCGGGAGGCTGAGGCAGGAGAATCACTTGAACTGCGGAGGAGGAGGTTGCAGAGAGCCAAGATCTCACCACTGCACTCAATCTCAAAAAAAAAAGAAAAAAGCCAGGAGAAGGGAATTAGATAAAATAATAAAAACTAAAAACTAAATACTAAATAAGACAAAACTTCCTAGTGTTGAAGATGAAGAGAAGGCCCTGTATGTGGTCTGTCCTTTGAGGCCTGTCAAAGGCCCGTGAGTTCTAGGCGATGAAGGGTTGAAAGAAAGTTCTGGAAAAGCATCTCTTTACACAGACAAGAAAGTTCTTACCCACTATCTGGCCACGAACTGCATCCGTATCTGAGGGGTTTAGTTTGCATAGATCCAAACGCTGGTCTGTAAACGAATAATTCGAAACTTAACCCAAGGAACATGAACTAGGGAGGAAGGCAGGATCAGTATTCAGCGATCAAAACAAAAAAATGATGCCTCCTAAGCTTTCTTCAGTTGCATTAAGAGGCAGGAAAGCGTTTGATTCTTACATCCGGTGTCTTTTAATCTGCTGATGGCGTTGGAGAGCAGCCGCACGCAGCCCAGGAAGCCAGCTCCCTGTTTCTTGTGAATTTTCTTGTGGTTCCACACACTAATGGTTATTGAATCTGTTTTCCCAACATATCTGGAAAGAAAGTACAAAACTCATTTTTAATTGTATTTCTTTTTTTTCTTTCTTTTTTTTGGGGTGGATGAAGTCCCGCTCAGCTGCCCCCAGTCTGGGGTGCAGTTGCACCATCTCAGCTCACTGAAACCTCTGCCTCCTAAGTTCAAATGATTCTCCTGCCTCAGCCACCCAAGAAGCTGGGACTACAGGTGTATATCACCACACCTGACTAATTTTTGTATTTTTAGTTGAGATGGGGTTTCACCATGTTGGCCAGGCTGGTCTCAACCTCCTGATCTCAGGTGATCCGCCTGCCTCAGCCTCCCAAAGTGCCAGGATTACAGGTGTGAGCCACTGCACCCAGCAAATTTGCTGTATTTTAATTGTTGCACAGGACAGTAACATGATTCATAAATTCTCACCAATTAGGTTTAATATAGAATACTGGTTTGCAGCAAGGGACCACTTACAAACCTATGGATCCATTCCAAGTACACAAGAGGACACTAAGACATTAAACCTCCAATTACTGTCACTGCAAGCCAATCATGGAGAGAGAGGAACTTTCAGGACAATAACTGACAGCCACTTACAGAGCCTCAGTGTCACTGAAACTGAATTTTAGAATCTAACTCTTAAAAACCCCACCCAAATAACAGTATAATTTGTGTCAATTAAAAGACAATAAGCTTTCAGGATTACTTTGATGAAAATATCTTAGGGACATGAAAACATGGGAGCATATAAAATAATAATCTTCATGGCCAGGAGCGGTGTCACACCTGTAATCCCAGCACTCTGGGAGGCTGAGGCAGGCAGGTCACCGGAGGTCAGGAGATCGCAATCAGCCTGGCCAACATGGTAAAACCCTGTCTCTGCTAAAACTACAAAAATTAGCCAGGTGTGGTGGTGGGCACTTGTAATCCCAGCTACTCAGGAAGCTGAGGCACAAGAATCACTTGAACCCAGGAGGAGGAAGTTGCAATGACCTGAGATTGCACCACTGCACTCCAGCCTGGGCAACAGAGTGAGACTCTGTTTCAAAAAAAAAATTAAATTAAAAATTAAATAAAGTAGTGGTTTTCAAAGTGCAAGCCAGTTTTTGAATGAATACAAGAAATTGTCTGATGGCTTTGATAAAATAAAACCATATTTTCTGTTGCAGAAATATGTGTACTAAAAAAAGGCAAAATTTCCAAAGTCAACGGAAACATACAGTCAAAATAATGCATTTTAAGTAGAAACTACAACTAGGTTTAGGGTTTTGCTGAAAAACAGTAGCATGTGGAGTTCACAAACTATACAGCCTTTTCTCCTGCTAAAATGGCCAGGATGCTGAAAAGTTTGAGGATCACAGGTATAAAACCAAGCCATAAAAATCTATGAAATTATCAAAGGCCGTCCGGCACGGTGGCTCAGCCTATAATCCCGACACTTTGGGAGACCAAAATGGGCAGATCACTTGAGGTCAGGAATTCAAGACCAGCCTGGCCAACATGGTGAAACCCTGTCTCTACTAAAAAAATACAAAAATTAATTGGGCATGGTGGCATATGTCTGTAATCCCAGCTACTTTGGAGGCTGAGGTAGGAGAATCGCTTATATCCAGGAGGCGGCAGTTGTGGTGAGCCAAGATCGTGCCACTGCACTCCAGCCTGAGTGACAGAGTGAGACTTCATCTCAAAAAAAAAAAGAAAAAAGAAAAAGAAAAATGTGCTGAATGCAAGAACTTCCAAGTGCATGAATTCTACAGTTAGGCAACGTATACGTTCATTTGGCCATCTGCTTTTGTTATTAATAAAAGTCTTTTTTTTTTCTTAAATGTTGTCTCTCATAAAAGCTAGACACCTGCTTTCTTGCCACTCCCCATGTAGCTTCCAGAACATTCAACTCACAAATCATAGTGCTGGTTCCACTTTGGGTCCAATGTGTTTTTCACAGTGTCGGTTGAGTGGCACTGCCCAGACCCATCCACGACGATCTTTGCAAACGGATCAGGGAGCCCTAGAGGAGAGAGGAGACCCATACCTAGATGAGACCTCAGATTCATACATGTGACACAGAACAGTCTTTCAGGCTAAAGGGAGCTTCAGGATCATCTCATCTGGTAAAGATTACCTGTGTGCATTTTCTTCTCTAATTTCAGGATAATTTCAATCAGCAAAATAAGTGATTTCTATTGAGCTTTCTAAGAGAGACAACCTAGTATGCCTCCATACTCGGATTTTTAGAGGACAGAAAAGAAAGTGACTTAAAAAAATAGGCTTACATTCAAATTTCTATTAAGTGAGGCTAAGTGGAGGGAAGTGTCTGAAAGTAATTGTATTTAGACTTTCTAAAAATTATTAATGCCCGGAAATCTTGTTTACTGCTCTTACCTCTGTTATCTATGGAAGTAAGTATGCACCAGGTCTTAATTTGGTTTAAGTCCCTAATGCTGGAGACTGATCAGATGGGTTTATTAGATAAGACAGGTGGCAAAGTATACAGGTGTCAGAGACAGAGCTGGACACCAGCCACCACTCAGGAGTTTCCTCACTACCTGGATAAAGCCTTTGAGCCCAAGTTTCTTCATCTTTAAAGCATGAATAATACCACTTAGGAACTGAAAGATGTTCTGTGTGACAAATTAATTGCTGCTAGCACTTACCAGATAGTAACTGACTTTCTTAAGGAGTGATTCCTTCCCTTAGAAAAGGAGTCTCTATTTGGACAATTCCTTTAATTACAGGGTGTTGTAAATGTGATTTAATGTATAAAATGTGATTAACAATTTTATGCAAATTCAGCTGTTTCATAGAAAAATATCATTTGTATTAGAGCTGAGAATACATCATTCAGCAGAAAGCAATATTATAATTGGTAGAGAGGCAGAGAAAATAGGGTATGGCCAGAATGGGAAATAAAAGGTTTTTGGGTATGATTTATAAGCTCGGTGTCTTTCAGCTAAGGAACCCCCAGGTTGTAGTTAATTGGGAAATCAAGTTTGACAAACCATGGATTTCTGCTAAAACTTTTAAGAGAATACACCTTATCTTTTTTTAAATTTTAAAATTTCAGAAATACATGCGTAACGTTACAAGAGAGAAAAAAAAGTGTTTACTTACTAAAGAAGTCTTTCTTTGCAAGGTTCTTGGCACATAATACTAAAAACAAAGAATAATTGCTCAGGTTAGCATTTAGGAGATTTCCATAATAGCTCATCTATGTTTACACCAGAACAAAAGACTATACAATTATCTTTGCTAAAGATTTGACTTTCAAATCTGGTATCAACATTAAACAAAAAAATGGACAACCATCAAAAAAGTGTTTTCTCCTCAAACTGAAGATCAACTATAACAAATACAAAATGCTTTAAACTAAAAATCTTAAAACACATTCAGATGGATTTAGCAATATACTTTTTTATTTTTTAAGAGACAGGATCTCGTTCTGTGACACAGGCTGGAGTGCAGTGGCATGATCATAGCTCACTGCAGCCTCGAACTCCTGGGTTCAAGTAATCCTCTTGCCTCAGCCTCCCCAGCAGCTAGAATTACAGGCACATACCACCACACCTGGCTAATTTTT